TCGGAAAAAGATGAAATGGAACTTTAATCATTTTTAATTTAGGATTTCAAAATTTAATTTAACTATTTTTTTTAATTTTTTTGATATAAACATGTTTGTAACTGTGCCTGTGTGCAAAAACCATATTTTTGTGTGTGTGTTAATTTATAATTTTGTTTGTTGTGTAAATGTTACATTGTGTGTGTGTTTTTGTAAAAATAAAAATATTATAAAAACACCAGATTTTTTATCTGTTAGTTCAGTAAGCATTTATTATATATATATATATATATATATGTCGAAAAAGATATTTTCAATTTACTTATTTTTTTTTTGAAATACATTTTACATATATATTATTCATATACATATATATATTTATTATACATAAATATATTAACCCCAAATATTTTTATCAAAAAACAACAGACTAGGCACACACACACACATATATATATATATATATATATATATATATATCCATATATATATATAATATATATCGACAGTTTCAGTCTGTTTTTTTATTTATTTATATATTTATTTATTCTAACGTTCAAATTTTCCTGTGATACGTTTTTTATCGATAAGTAATAAAATTTTATTATTCATGTTTGTAAAATTGTTAAATTTAATTATGTCAAAATTTGATTCAATTTGAATTTTTTTAAATGTTGGGCGTATGTCTAAATCATTTGTTGCAGACAAAGGACCTTTTCTTTTTTCACATCACATCTGTTCTAATGAATAACTGAAGTTTCATTTCATCTTGGTTTAATTAACTCTTATTAGACTAGGATACTGAAAAGTTTAAATCCTTCTCCTTGATGGCATTCAACAATTTCTTGTAAAAACGATTGACGTTATTAAATTTAAATAAAACATGGGGATAAGAAAAAAATTCATCAATTTCATTCATTTGAAGTTAATTTAATATGGAGCCAACCGATGTTTTAAGAAATTAGAACCCGGCTAAATCATTTTTGAATGCTGATTAAAACACGCTTTATCCAAATGACTTTTTGTTGGATTGCTTTACATTTTTTTTTTCTTTTCTTTAATTTTTTTTTAAATTTTAAATCTTCTTTTCATTTTTTTTTTTTTTAAACAAATTCAAATTGTTTTATGAGTAGACGTTTATTAATTCCTTCAAAGCTTTCACAAATTTTGACATCGACATATTTTCTTTTCTGAAGTACCAAATTTAAATTGATACCGTTCGATTCTAATTTTCTTTTTTCTGCGATTCCACAGATTTTTCCTTTCAGATCACTTCAATTTGTTTATTAAATATTGTAAAGCTGAATATTCAGATTTTTCAATTAGTTCTTATCGTGAAATTATTAAATGTTTGCATCATTGAACTCAAATGTGTTCTTAATAAACAAGACTCTCATTCAACAATCAACTTTCTTTCTATCCCATTCATTCTATTGTTCTGGACCAGGTAATACTTTTTTCAATAATTATATATATATAAAACTTGAAGGATGCAAAAAATAATAATGCAACACAAAACAAATTTATTTGTAATGTATTGAAACAAGAAATTCAAAAATTTTTATATATGTCATTTATATTCCTGGTTTTACCATTACTGGAAATGTTTGACTGAAATACATAATTAACAGAGTCTCAATTGAATAAAAAAATCTACATTTTTCTGTAAACCATATTTATATGGTCTTAGAGTATAAAATGTTAACCACTAGACAATATATTGGGATATAAATATATATATATATATATATATAAAAAACAAATTTGAAAACGTTTATTAATTTAACATGTTTTAGAGAAAGTTAATTAGTTTAGAATGAGAATGAGATGTGTGTGTGTGAAAAAAAAAGATTTTTTTTTTTTTTTTTTTGTGTTATTTTTTTTTCATTTTGTTAATCAAATTTTTTTGTTCATATTTGAGTTTTGTTCCGTTTTTTATTTTTAAACAATTTATGGATTTCAGAATTCCGGGAGAAATAAAACGTCCTTTCAAACGATAAAAAAAAAGAACCCGCATATTTTTTCCTTAATGAAAATGCCTCGTTTTAAAATTCCAGTTTGTCTATGATGGATTGACTGATTAAAAATAAATAAAAAACGTGTGTAAATACACTTGTAGAACATTAAATCTTATGCATATTATTTATATTTTATTCATTTATCTGTTTTTTGTAAAAATGATTCATTAAATATAAATTAGAAATGTTCCACATATTTGATTTAAATTTTTATCCAAATTGCAAAGATAATTTCTGCGATTTGCTGTATTTATTGAACATTTATTCAATATAACATCGACTGAAAAAATTTTTTATTCAAAAGAAAATGATATTTAGTCAAAAAAAATATTCTCTTTTTCCATCTTCCAAAATTCAACCGTTAGCGTTGCGACTGTAAAGGTAATAATTTCTTAATGTTAAACAATGAACATTTCTAAAAAACATTTTTGACTCATCTTTTTCATGTCCCGATATTTTTGGATGTATTTAAAAAAAAAAAACAAATGAATTTCCATTTCCTGATGATATCTCATCAACAGATGAAATACTTGAAAAAAAAAAAACCTTATACAAGTTGAATTTAATACAAAAATCAGGGATTAATCTAGACTTTCGTGGGTTAATGTAATTTTAATAAATTTGTTTGCGAATTGTATTCTCGCCATTTATATCATTAACTTCAAATCTGTTTTTTATGAATTTCATGTAATATATAATATATATATATTTGATTTATATATTTATATTATATATCCGAACTATATTTGAAAAATAAATTGCCAACTCGTCAAACGTTCTCGCATCTGCCTGGCCTGTGGGTTGAAAAGGAAAAGAAAAGATATCTAAATTTTTAAATCCATTTCAACAATTTTAATAATTGGTCTCGTGCAAACACCAAAATCGTTCCTTTGATTTTAATTAATTTCGTTAACTCCATAAACCATTTTAAAATACCACCATTTTGAGAAAGAAAATTTCATCTTTGCTTATCCCATCGAGTCTTTAAAAATAAAATGTTTCAGAAATTAGTTTTTTTTTTTTTTTTTTTAAACGAAAGGGGATTTGCTCGTTATATATATATATATTAGACATTATATATATATTTTATATACAGTAGCGTCCAAAACTAAGGGACAAAATTTTAAAACCTAATATTTGTTAGAAATAACAACTGTGAAAAGCTGAAATTTTGACAACTGGTAGTCGTTATCATCCATAATAACATACTAAAATTTGAATCATTTGCAAAGGATAGAAAAAGAATTATAACAATTATTTATTTATTTTCAAATTTGGAACGTCCAAAAGTAAGGGACAAAATTGAGAAAAACAATGTAAACGGCAAAAAAAATTCAAATAAAAATACATGTACAATCAATATTTAGTAAATGAGCCCTTGCTCTCAATGACAGCTGCACATCTTCGACTACAAGAACGAATCAGTTCTTGACAATCCTCGATACTAATTTTAGACCATTCTTCTTGAAGCTTCACCCACAAATCCTCCGTGTTAGTGGGATTTCTTTCCATAACTTTCACTCCCAAGGTCTTCCAAAAATTTTCTATTGGATTTAAGTCAGGACTTTGCGGTGGCCAATCCATAATTTCCAAATCTTGCTTGCTAAGGTAACTCATTACCACCTTTGCCTTGTGACATGGGGCATTATCTTGCATAAAGGTAGCCCTATCGAAACCTGAATTCTGTATGATTGGCACAACATGATCTTGAACAATGTTTTTATAGATCTGCGCGTTTACACGAGTTTGTAACCGGACAAGAGGCGTTGTACCTTGGCTAGAAAACATTCCAAATACCATGACGCTTCCGCCCCCAAACTTGACAGTTTTCTTAGTACACTTTGCACTTAATCTTTCACCAATACGTCTCTTTACATTGTTTTTTCCATCATTTCCAAATAAATTAAACTTGCTTTCATCACTGAAAAATACTTTTGCCCAATTTTCATATGTCCAAATTACATACCTGTTTGCAAACTCTAATCTCTTCTTCTTATTCTTCGAACTAACAAGTGGTTTCTTCCTGGGGTTCGATTAAACAGCCCTATTTCTTGCAGTCGTCTACAAACAGTCTGTCTTGACACATTAACACATGAGGTACTATTCATAACCCTTTTTAATTTCTGTGCAAGACTTAAAACGGTCCTTTAATGACATACGCTGCATTATTCGATCTTCTCTTGCCGAAGTTTTGCGGGGTCTGCCGGTTTTAAAAGCACTAACTATTTTGCCAGTATCATTGTAGGATTTAACAACCCTGCCTACAACACTCTTGGAACGTTTCACTTTCTCTGAAATCTCTCTAATGGTGTGCTTTTCCTTGTGTAGCTTCACAATAGCTTGTCTCACAGAGTAATCAAGTTTTTGGCGTTTCGCCATGGTGCCGGCTGATGCAACGTTTACAAATGACTAAGTAAGACTTATTCTTTAGAGGAAATCAAAAATTTGAATATAGCATACTGTTTACATTGTTTTTCTCAATTTTGTCCCTTACTTTTGGACGATCCTATTTTGAAAATAAATAAATAATTGTTATAATTCTTTTTCTATCCTTTGCAAATGATTCAAATTTTAGTATGTTATTATGGATGATAACGACTACCAGTTGTCAAAATTTCAGCTTTTCACAGTTGTTATTTCTAACAAATATTAGGTTTTATACTTTTTTGAATAAAAAGAGATAAATATTTTTTTCTTTTTATATGGATCTTGTTTAGTTTTTAAGCCTTGATAAACTTTTGCAGATTTTTTGAAGCCACAAATAGACCGTAATCTTTTAAGTTTTAGACCGTAAGAAATTTTGAAAGTAATAATTATTTACTGATACAAATTCTACTACTTAACCCATAGCTGGGGGAAATACTCTTGGGAAAAGTATGAATCCATACCTTTTCTAATAGTATTTGCGTGTAAGTGAATATAACGAACCTGACTGAAATTGGAACTCTACTCTCCAAAATCCAAATCCGAGTCGTTAGGCATTACACTATCCGCACATACAAGCATACAGCATCTAATATTCTTAAGCGGTCACCTATCTAGTTACTGAACAGGCTCGGCGTTGCTTAACTTCGGTGATTGTACTAGAACCGGTGTTTCAACGTGATATGGACGTCAGCCTTTTGTATATGTGAAATATGCAAATTGAATGAAACTGAAAACGTTGAGGAGAGAGAGAGGACATTAAAAGGGTCGGATACAAAGCAAACAGACGTAGACAACGTTGCATTTACATTTGTGAAGGTCGTAGTTGACAGGAAAGCAAGAAGCCGGAAGCGAGTTTCACAAGTGAGAATTGCGAGAGAAGAAACCATTAGCATAAAACTTAGTTATATCCTATGCAATTTTAACTGTAAGATGTTGAGACCTAGCTGACGATCATGCCCTTTATTTAAATTTGTGAAGTCAAATGTACTAAAGAGGAAAGCTAATTAATAGCCATGAAAGTGTTTGGAGAAATGTCCCAGGAAACCTACGTTGCAACAAGACAGCTGACATGGTAGATTCTTTTATGATTTTGTCAGGAATCTCTAGATGTGGCAGAAATATTCAATATACGGACGAATAGTAAACTTATAGATATGTAAGATAGATTCTGGCGAGAAAGAACTCTCTAGAACGATACAGTGAACCAAATTTCTTAACGACAGATCTAGCAATTGATTCCATATAAATGTTCCACTTCATGTCAGTGGAAAAGTCATAGAATTTTTACGAAGAAAAATAATATACTTAAGGGCCTATGCTAATGAAACAGCTAGTTACTCCTGTTTTAATGGTAAGTCTGATCAATTCGATAAGGTCAAATTAGCAGCTGATCTAAAAAAAAAGAAAGACATACAATTTGTTGTTTACTGGGACAAGAAATGGATTCTTAATTTTAACAACTTTAAAACAAAACTTATCTCCTTTAGTCGTATGAGAGAACCGTTTTTGCTTTCCATCAGCTTGGCTGATACTAACTTCCAAGAGGTGAATTATTCTTCTTGGGGTTACGCTGTCCGCTGACATGAAGTGGAAAAATTATATGAAATCAAATTGCTAGGTCTTCTGCTAAGACACATGATTCCCTGTGTCGTGCTAGACGATTTTTCTCGGCAGAATCTCTCTTACAGATTTATAAGTCTACCATTCTTTCATGCATTGGATATTGCTGTCAAATCTAGTCTAGTGCTTTTGCGGCCATATTATCGGTCCTGACTTGGCATTACGGTTTCACTCATTTTCCAAGTGCCATAAGGTAGCTTTTTCTATAAATATTTTCATGAAAATTGTTCTGATGAGCTTTCCGCTTTAGTGCCGTGGCTTTACGAATTTAAGCGGAGTAGTAGATTGGCAGTTAGGCCTCGTCATTTTATAGTTAAAATGGCTCGTTGTAACTAAGTTTTATGCTAACAGTTTCTTCTCTCGCACTTTATGCTTTTGAAATTCTCTTCGGGTCTCTTGCTTTCCAATCAAATTTGGTCTTCAAAAGTTTAAATGAAATGCCAATCGTTATCTTTTTGTTTTTAATTCGTGTTCTTTTATTGTTTTCTCCCCTAAATTATGTTATTCTTATTCTCATATTCTTTCACACTCAGTAACCACTTGCGTCTTAGTGGCTTTATTTTCTTTCTTGCAGGGTAATTGGTTTGGTTTAGTTTGGTTTACGGCATATCAATCTCAATGCATTATTTAATCCGACAAAATTTTTATTGCTGGTAATATTTTTTTTCAAAAATGTATTGCTGGCAATAATTTTTTTACAAAGTATTTCTGGTATTAAAGCCTATTTTTACACTTTCATAGTATTTTTTACCTCAGTTTGGGAGTTAAATATTTGCCCATTACTGGGACCCTGACAGATGCTACCACCACGGGTCAAGGTGGACCTGGGAAAACAAGCAATTAATAGGCGATTCCACGCTCTTCAAAACCTCCTGACCAGATGCCTTGCTGTCGGGCGTAGTTTATTGGCTTACTCACGACGCGGATGTAGTTTATCGTCATACCCAGGACGGCTTACAGTGTAATGATGAAAAAAGCAAATGCTGATTGTAATGGAAAACCTTTGCAGCTACCGACACGCAATTTATGGTATTACACCAACGTTAAGAAGGCATTTTGCCACGTTTCATTTTAATGGGGATATTTTATTTTAATGATACTTTATTTCATTTTAATGGGAATATGACTAAATAAACTTTCCCTTTCTTTCTTTTAGCCTTGAATAATTTCGTTCAAATTTCAAATGTCGCTCTCAATGCCCCAAAGAAAAGATGGGGTGAAATCGTTAGTACAGACAGATGTGCTGAAGAATGTCTCAAACGGATGAATTGCCTTTCTTTCGAGATGGAGTTAGGAATGTGTTTTTTTTCTGAATATGCCCCTTCGGATAATTATATATTCCATATTAAGAAAAAAAGGGTTTTCTACAAACGATTTTATCGTAAGTATTTCGTTTTACTTTTCACTGCATAGAATCTAGGGCGAAGTTTTACTCACGAGTAGAAAAAACCTTACGCCATTACAAAATGAATGTGTAGTCAAACTCGGCTTTCAGGTCGCCTCATGTGACATATGTGATAAGAATCGTAGGGGCATGATATGTACTACAACAATAGCAAGCGTGGTGGATCTAAGGCATTGCTTCTCCATCTTTAATTTGATTTTGAATACACTGTTCATTACTCTAGACGTAAACATTGTTATTTAATCCATAGTTATGGCAGAAGAGATGGACTCATACCTTTTCCAAGATTATTAGGGCGAAGTTTCCTTAAATCTAAGAAGAAAAATACGTCTTTAAAAATGTATCTCCAATCAAATTCCATTATGACATGACATCACTTTACGAGTCGAGAAAACCATTAGTCTTGTAGAAGCACCACATGTTTTGCAGACCTAGCAGCAGTGATGTGTCTAGAAACAAATAGCCTCATGAAGTCTTCAGTTTTAAATAATGCTAATCTAGAAAAAATATTTTCAATTTTTTTCCCTGCTTTTTATAAATGGACCAATGTATTTAAATAGTGCCAACAAAAGACTCGTTTTCATTCTAATCGATCCAATTGCAATGAGATTTCATCTAACATACTGCGCATGAGCAGAACAATCTGAATTAGCCAACAATAATTAATTAAATTAACTCAAAAAGCGCATTTTCTTATTTCATTTTTCAGCAAGTGAGGAATTTATTTTCTTGAAGCAAGCATCAATTCCTGGCCGTGACTACTTAGGCCGAACAAACGTCCAGAGTGTAGCCGAATGCCAAGAAAAATGCCGAAAAAATCCTCGTTGCCTTTCATTTGAAATGAAATTGATATGCAAGAGTTGTAAGCGTTTCTTCTGCGATCGCACCACTATAAACTTTCCAAAATATAAACCTTACATAAATCTTAATGGATGGAACCTTTATCTTTCGAATCCAAGTACGTAATGAGGAAATTTCAAATTATCTCTTTCTATGATTTATAAAAATGTAATATTCATCATAACGTTTTTTGTTTCTACTTTATACGGCACTTAGAATAGATTGCTATTTAAGAAAAAAAAAACAGTGTTTAACAATGTTTCACAATATTTCAGCATTATGACTGTCTATACCGACGTTCCTTATGTTTAAAAATGGATCCAAGTATAAAGCATATAAAAAAAAATAAATACGAACCTTTGTACAATTTTTCTTAAATCGCGTTCTTGCGCTGTCATGTTGAACAACATTGCTTATTGACGAGCGTCATGAGCTATTCGACCAAACTTTTAAGGAAACGTTGTAATCACTGAACTTATAAATGTGTATTTAGTATTTCGTTCCAGATCACTCACATCATTATATTTTCTAGCACTATTTCGATAGCAGATGTCAAGATTAACTACATCATTTAGTTTCATCTGTTCAGATCTTTACGTGCCACATACACATTGTCGAATCAGTCTTATTACCTTCGTATTCCATTGTTGAGAAAGAAGCTCATTTCGACAAATTTTACCAAGAAATGATACTTTGCGGAACAGACTCCCGAGAAAATACTTACCCGATCACTACAATCTTAACTTCTTCAAGCCTAAAGTCAACCTTTATCTACATATCCCCATAAACCACAATAATATCATCTTAAAACCGTGCAATAACTACGTTCAGAAACCTAACTTAAGAGGCTCTTGGGTATTCTATTTTGGTAACCATTTTCGTTAAAAAGTCAAAGAGCCAGATTGTCTGAACATTTCTAAGAAAAGAAGGAATATGCAGAATTATAATAGGACACTTTCTTCTGTTCTAATTCTATTAATATTTTCTTTGTCATTCTACAGATTACAAACACAAATGCAGTGAACCTGATCCAATGAAATATGTCAATCTAAATATATTTAACACTAACCTTGATTCCATGGCGACGTATAAATGTTTACATAATGAAAGCGTATCTGAAAAAGAATCTGGAAAACTTGGAAATCAAACTGATCCAGCTGATTATTGCATCGACCCACGTAATATGCTTTTCAATTCATACTAATAAAAAGTGCTACCACATACACACACATACACACACACACAATTTGCGAACTCTAATATGCAGATAAACGTTTTAAAAATAAAATTAATATCAAATAGCCGATGTTGATTAAATGTCCATTACACATCAATATTTAGATAATAGATACAGCTCGTGAATTTGAGGTTAATATATAACTATATAACTTTTTCTTTGAAATCTTTATAATAACTTATTTGTCGTGTGAGATGTTATTATGTAGCAAAAAATATTAAAAGACAGTAATTCAGTAAGGCGAAGATATATTGAAAGTCCACTAATTTTAGATTCGTCTACCGTAAAGTTACATCCATGATCAACCAACATACTTCCTCGTCTGAAATTGGAGTCGTTACCGTTTTTATAGAAAACAATGTAATCAATATATTGTTTTCTCTTTGCTTGCCACAACGTTATTTTTTCTTTTCTATCTTTTTTTTTTAGTTTTTTATAGCTGCGATAAAATAATGAGATGCGGTCTTGTCATTGGGAACATCGAAATGTGGATCTGCCCAAAAGTTTTGAAAAAAAAAGATGTTCTAATTTTCTGTGAGGGTATATCGACTGGTAATCCGAAAGAATACATCAGACTGAAGAAGCCAA